GTGTATATAAAACTATATATGTGTTTTATATACACAAAACAACAGCAACAAAAAAGAGGCCGGGCACTGTGGCTCACACTTGTAATCCCAGCACTTTGGGAGGCTGAGGCGGGTGGATCACTTGAGCTCAGGAGTTCGAGACCAGCCTGACTAACATGGTGAAATCCCATCTCTATTAAAAATATAAAAATTAGCCAGGCGTGATGGCGGGTGTCTGTAATCCCAGCTATTCAGGAAGCTGAGGCAGGAGAATAGCTTGAAACCTGGAGGTAGAGGTTGCAGTGAGCTGAGATCATGCTACCGCACTCCAACCTGGGCAACAGAGCAAGACTCTGCCAAGAAAAAAAAAAAAAGAGGAAAGTAAGGTAAGGTAAGAGAGAGAGAGACAGAGAGAGAGAAAGAAAGAAGAAAGAAAAGAAAGAAAGGAAGAAAGAGAGAGAAAGAAAGAGAGAAAGAGAAAAAAAGAGAAAGAGAGAGAGAGAGAAAGAGAGAGAGAAAGAAATGGAACTCTGCAAATACATAAAGATATGTGGGGTGGGCACACCCTGGCCTTTGAACCTCGACCTGTGCAGATTGCCTATCATCTCATCTTCTTCTGTCCTATAAAATTCAGTTCTGTGTTCACCCAAATGACTCTGTCTCTTGTTCTCAAACCTTCTCCCACCCATGCTTCTTTGCCCCTTGGAGACAGAGGCAGTCACTCATTCACCACATCCCACCTGTGCATCCAGAACACCTTCCTCCTTGGGGTAATCACAGGGTAAGATTAATTATGCTAATCAGCCTCTACAGGCTGACACAATTAACCAGAGTATGAGATAACTTCAGAAATCTATATAGGAGGTATCTACCTGCTGGGTTTAATTTCACCATTCAGCACAGTAATTAAGGGGAGGGATGGGTGGGAAGTTTGCTCTTTTCAACTAAAGAGTACATGGTACCATCCTCCAGTAGAAGCTGTGTGAAGTTTTCCAGGAAATGTTTGGCCACTTATTGTCACCTCTTGGAATCTGCTACTGAACATCTCCTTCTTGGGGCTAGGCACGAATATTGTAGCCAGTTCTCTCTTCTTGATGGAACCAAGTGAGATGCTTGTATTTTTATGCATTTTTAAATCCTTTTCTTTCCCCTACTTACTCTTCTACACCTTTAAAATTTTTTAATATTTTTATTTATTCAAAAATAAGAAAAGTTGCTTCTCAGAATAGGAGATTTGAAAAAAAAAATCAGAAAAGTTATAAAAACTTTAGATTAGGCATACCTCATATGTGTGTTATGAGGTGTTAATTCTGAAAGTTGCTTTGGGGAATAAAAGTTAACAATCCAAGATAGAGAAACTCTAATTTCGGTATTCTTCTTCTGAATTTAATATCTATAGAATTTAATGTATGAGGAGTGTGTTAGTCTGTTCTCTTGCTGCTAATGAAGACATATCCAAAACTGGGTAGTTTATAAAGGAAAGAGATTTAATGGACTCACAGTTCTACATGGCTGGAGAGGCCCCATAATCATGGTGGAAGGCAAAGGAGAAGCAAAGACACGTCTTACATGGCAGCAGGTAAGAGAGCTTGTGCAGAGGAACTGCCCTTCATAAAACCATCAGATCTCTTGAGACTTATTCACTACCACGAGAACAATATGAGGGAAACCACCACCATTATTCAATTGTCTCCATCTGGCCCCATCCTTGACACATGGGGATTATTACAATTCAGGGTGATATTTGGGTGGGGACACAGCCAAAGCATATCAGAGAGTCGTACATTAAAGACTCTGAAAATTCTGTAACAAAGAAAACACATTAACCAAACACAGTTAACCCAATATTTTCCACATTTATTTTACCACGCATTGAACTGTGCTAAAGTCCTTGTGTTAAGATCTCATTTCAGGGGCAAGAAAACACCATAAATCTTAGCTTTCTTGCCCCGAAAATAAGACCCTAAGACAAGGACTTCAGCACAGTTAGTTCACTGAGAGAAGATTTCAGGAAAGAGAAGTGAGGAAGTGGGAAAAGTGAGGCAGGATAGGAGGACAGCCAATCAAAGTGTATTAATGAACCAGTTACTGCTATGGACAGCTGGGGTTCAGTCTTGCTGGAACCCTAAAGACGCATCTAGAATGCATCACAGAATTGTCCTTTTGGAGGATAGAAAGGCTGAGGCATTTATCCACGGACTCACATCACTTCTGCATATTTCTAAGTTGATCAGCTGATGGAGAGAAAACGCAACGCACCCTTAATAGGGGGCTGACAATGGAACATGGAACTGTCAGCCACGGCAGTGCTGAAATAGGGAGAACTGAAGGTACGCGGTGTGGCCATCACAAGTTCTTGCTACATTGTATAACATTTTTTAAATGTTTTAAAATGCTAATTTATTAACATCCAAACAAACTTGCAATCTATGTACATAATTTAGGAAACACCGTTCTTCTAAATTATTCATGTTTTTCTAGATCCGATTCTCCCCTTTTTCCTCATGGGAATATAAGCACTGACAAATGCTAGAAAGTAGATGAGTGTGTGTTCCTTCCAAGGTGAAGTGGAAAAAGTCTCTGCACAACTCTCCCTCTCTGCTTCCCCTGCAGTGACAACCCTGGGACGCATCAATTGAGGCGACCACAGGAAGAAAGCAGATCAGATCCCTGAGCAAACTTGAAAGGGACTGCCCCAGTGAGGTACCTGGCCTGCAATGGACTTTGAGTGCACAAGAAATCAGCTTTCATGTGTCAATCCACTGGAATTTAGGGTTTTTGCTTAACCACACCAAAGCCTAGCCCACCCTGAGTAACACAACAGCCTTAGAGAACACAGCCACAGATAAGCAAAAGTCACGGTAATCTAAGATATTCCTTACACAGAATATCTGATACGGGTCAGCTAGTGTCATAGCAAGAAAAACAAGGAGAGGACAAAGAAACACTGACCATTGCCTGTTCTTCTTAGTGTAACTCACAGAGAATCACAAAGACAAGGCAAGGAAGGGTCAGTGAGTGACCCAAGCTCTGCATGAAAGTGTCCTGTTTCTGAAGAATGAGATGGTCTAGAGGAGGGTGTTCCATTTTATGGGAGCAGATATGCACAAACTCTTCTTGAAAAGAAAAGGAGAGCTTAGTGCTGTGTTTTCATGCCCTGCTTCTGACTGTTTAAGTGGGCTCATTGATCTGGAAAACATACACTTGCTGGCCCACAGATGTGAAAAACTGAAGCGATGTCACCTACCCTTGCTTATTCTAATTTGCTTTCACTACAATTTCCTGTCTAAACTAGCTCTGAAATTTTGGCTCTGGCAACTCTTGTTCAAATATTTTCTCCTCTGTCCCCTCATTTGGGGAATCTAATTAAGCATATATTTGCCTGTTTGAATTCATCCCTTCATTTAGAGCTTATTAACGTTCTGCTAAATTTTTTTTTTTTTTTTGAGATGGAGTCTCGCTCTGTTGCCCAGCTGGAGTGCAGTGGCTTGATCTTGGCTCACTGCAAGCTCCGCCTCCTGGGTTCACACCATTCTCCTGCCTCAGCCACCTGGGTAGCTGGGACTACAGGTGCCCACCACCATGCCTGGCTAATTTTTTTGTATTTTTAGTAGAGACAGGGTTTCACCGTGTTAGCAGGAGGCCACCTCGGCCTCTCAAAGTGCTGGAATTACAGGCGCCCACCAACACGTCCAAATATTTTTTCTTTTTCTTTTTTTTTTGTATTTTTAGTAGATACAGGTTTCACTGTGTTAGCAGGATGATCTCAATCTCCTGACCTTGTGATCCGCCCACCTCGGCCTCCCAAAGTGCTGGGATTACAGGTGTGAGCCACTGCGCCTGGCCTCTGCTAAAATTTTTGAATGATCTTTTCTCTTTTAATTTCATTTTTGATAGTTTCTCTTGCTATGTCTTCAAGTCTTTTCTTCTATCATATTTAATCTCCCATTAATCCATCTACTGTTTTTAAAATCTCATACATTGTAGTTTTCATCTCGAATGTCTGTGTCTTTTTACTATTTCCCATGTATCTATTCAAAGTTTTGATATCTTGAATACAGTGATAATAACTATTTTAATGTCCTTGCACGTTAATTCTAACATCTAGGCCAGTGCTGGATCAGTTTCGATTATTTAATTATTCTCCTCAGTGTGGGTCATATTTTTCTGCTTCTTTATATGCCTGTTAATTTTTGATTAGATGCCAGTCATTGTAAATTATGCCTTGTTGGATTCTGAATATCTTTCTATTTCTGTAAGTATTCTTGAGTTTTGTTATGGGGCACAGTTAAATGACTTGGAAAAGTTTTATTCTATCAGATTTTGCTTTTAATATTTATTAGGCAGGACTAGAACAGTGGTCAGTCTTGGGCTAATTTGGGCTATTTTCCACTGCTGAGGCAAGATACTTCTCTTTAAAGTCATTGCTTCACATGTCTGATTACAGTTTACTTTCTTTGTTCTTTTCATTCCTTTTACTTCTTTTCTTTTTTTTTTTTTTTTTTTAATTTTTTGAGGGGGGTTGTTTCAGGTGAGAAAGTAAATCTAGTCCCTGTTAATCCATGTTGACTGGAAGCAGAACTGTGACTGATTTTAATTCTTATCAAAGTTCCCTTTGGAATTTGTGATTAAACATGCCTTCTTGGGTTTGGCCCACTGAGTTGAATAACTGATTTTTCCTTTTTCTGACCTTTCCCAGAGTCCCTGAAATATCCACCCTTCCTCAGTTTCTTTTGTCACACCAACACTCTTCATTAAGCTGTCAACTATCTAATGCAGTCTTTCTCTTGAAGACATTGCCAATTGCCTACCTAACAGTTATCCCTCCCACTTGTTTGCTAGGTAATAAAACTTGATATTGTTCAGGGAAGCAGTTTTCCTCAGCTAAGTCTTACCTCTCTGGACTTCATTAAATCTAGCAGTAGCCACAGGAAAGTTGTTTGTGAGTGTGTGTGTGTGTGTGTGTGTGTGTGTGTGTGTTTTACATAACAGAGCTATTCTTGCATCTGATTTTTTACTGTTTGGAGTTTGGGTGCAACGCCTGGAGACGCAACATCAATCTTGCAACCAGAAATACATATATGACATATATTGTATAATACCAGATAATGCTATTTATATACAGTAAGAAGTGAATGGTGCCACTGCCTGACGCTGTGCAATGTGCAGTATATGTGGCCATACTCAGAAGCCCTAAAAAGAAGGATGAAGATGCAGGAAGACAGAAGGGCTCTGGGTATAAGCCCTAGACTGACTTCTTGCTGTGTGAGAAAAAAATACCCCTTGCCTGTTTAAATCATCTTTTCTTGGTTTCTGTTACTTGCAGTTGAGCATAATCCTGACTTACATCCCTCTTCTTCTTTCCTCTACAGGTAGCAAAATATTGGCGTGTAGCGCTACTCAAAACATAGAAAGCAGAAATAAATCAATTCTGCCTGGAGGACCTCCTCCATCTCAACACCCAGTGGTTTTGACAGAATTGATATAGAAATAGAAACTTCAAGGTGAGAACTTTTTATTTAATGCAAAGTAATAAATGATTTAAGAAACTACATTTGTTGCATGTTATGTACGTGTCAGATAGTGGGTTAAGAAGTGCTTTACGTGAATTATACCATTTAATCTTCAAAACTACATTAAGATGCAGGGATTTACATATTTATCCAACCAATATTTATAAATTATTAGAACTGTTCTAGGTACTGTGGACCTAGCCATGAATTACAAGGTACTTTCTATCCGTGGAGTTACAGCCTGGTGAGGGAGACCAGGAACATCAAACAAATAAATAAAATAAAAATAGAAGACTGTGAACAAATCTCTGAAGATTATTAAATCATCTGATGTGATAAAGATAGTGACTATTTTAGAGCAGCTCACTGGGGAAGGCCTCTCTGAGGAGGTGCCTTTTAAGGTAAGAAGTCTGAATGACAAGAATAAGACAATCATGTGAAAATCAGGGCATTTCAGGCAGAGGTTACAGCGAGTGCAAAAGGCCTTGAATTGAGAAGGTCGTGGTGAGTTGAAGAAACAGCAAAAAGGTCCTGTGTGTTTAGGGATTGGAGATGAAAGGGGATGCAGCTGTAGGTACCGACAGGAGCACAGTCATGAAGGACTGGGTAAACCAAGGTCGGGAGTTTTATTCCATTCTAAGAGGAGTGCTGTGATTTGTTTTATATTTTACAAACTCAATCTGGCTCTTCTTTAGTGAATACATAGATTATGGGTAGGGGAAAAGAATGAAAGCAAGAAAATGAATTAGGAAGCTTTGCAACCATTCAGAAGATGAAAGGACTTGGCTGGGATGGGGTGATAGGAAAGAAGAAGGGATGGAGATGAATTTGGACTGTTTTGGAGGTGGAGTTCTCAGAGCTTATTTAGAGATTGGCTTACAGGCGATGAGAAAAAGGAATCAAGGATTGCTGTTAGGGTTTCAACTAAGGAATTATCATGCCCATGTCATAAATGAGGAAGCATATACATGTATGTTTAATATATATTAATATATATGTTTCACATATATATGAGAAACAATTATATATGAAAGAGATTACGAAGTTTGCCAAAGGTCACACAGGTAACCCATGACATTCATCTATTATGTATTTATTTATTCACTTGACAAATATGTGTCAGGCACAGCAGAAATAGGAGTGATCAAGACAGTCACAGTCCCTCATGGAACTGAAACCAACTCAATAGTCACATAGACCAATAGTCCCCAACGTTTTTGACACCAGGAACCGATTTCATGGAAGACAATTTTTCCACAAACTGGGGTTGTTGGGGGATGATTTGGGATGATTCAAGCACATTACATTTATTGTGCATTTTATTTCTATTATGATTACATTGTAATATATAATGAAATAATTATACAACTCACCACAGTGTAGAATCAGTGGTAACCCTGACCTTGTTTTCCTGCAACTAGACAATCCCAAATGGGCATGATGGGAGACAGTGACAGATCATCAGGTATTAGATTCTCATAAGGAACAGGCAACCTAGATCCCTCTTATGTGCAGTTCACAATAGGGTTCGTGCTCCTATGAGAATCGAATGCTGCTGCTGATCTGGCTGGCAGCAGAACTCAGGTGGTAATGCCAGCTATGGGGAGTGGCTGTAAATACAGATGAAGCTTTGCTTGCTCACCACTCACCTCCTGTTGTGTGGCCCGGTTCCTAACAGGCTACAGACCACCACCCATCTGTGGCCTGAGGGTTGGGGGAGATGCCTGACATCGACATTTTTTTTCCCCAGTAAACATATAAATTGACCCTTCTGGTCTTAAAGCTTGAAGCTTACATTTGTTTTATCTGAGTTCCTTCCTCAGGAAAGGATCCCTGCTCCCCTGCCCCAGCCTCTCAAAAACTATCAAAGAGCTGAAACTCACCAGATCATCACATCCAGGCAATGAGAAGCCAGAGCACTTATTCATCCTGATTGCTTTCTTACCCCTCCCAAGTTACATTTCTTTCCTGCTATATAACCCCTAATTTTAGTCAGTCAGGGAGATGGATTTGAGACTGACCTCCCATTCCTCAGCTGCAGCACCCAATTAAAGCCTTCTTCCTTGGCAATAATCAATGTCTCAGTGGTTGGCTTTCTGTACAGAGAATAACAGGACCTAGACTGAACCCCTGGTGTTTCAGAGGATATTTTACTGCATTGTTAAAGTGATTAGGAGGATTTGAAATTCAAAGTCAGTCATGGTAAGTCAAAGTTCATACTTTGGCTTATGTGATGTCTGATGGAATTTCCTGGTGTTTGAAAGGGGACACCCAGGGATCAGGACTGTACAGACCCTCCCGCCCATCCCACTTAGCCCATCTTGTTCTTTGCTTGAATTTTGTCACTCAGCCTCAAGCACTCCTAGTTTTGTTCTTGTTTTTGTTTTTGTTTTTCCTTTTGAACACTCTTCCCATATGAGTTCACTGGTGATTACTGCAGGAGTCTTGGTAAACACTTATTGCATCCCTACAATGTGTCAGGCACTGCACTTGTCACTGGAGAAATAAAAAATGAGTAATAGATCTCCCTGTCTACAAGGAGCCCACCGTCTAGTTGGAAAATATAATCATAAACAATTATTTCAATGCAGTAGAATTAGGGCCATGATAGAGGCACAGGACATTGTTGGGTCACACAGGAAGGTACCTTACACAGACTGGGCAAAAGTTATTAGAAAAGTTCTCTCAGAGGAAGTGACAGAGAAAAAGGAAAAGGAAGTGGATTTTGCAAAAGGAAAGAAAAAGAATTCTAAGGCAGACAAAGCAATCCAAGTAAAATCACAGAGGCTTGAAACAACATGGCAAGTGCAGGGAACTATGATGTGCTTGGACCAGAAAGTGAAAAAGGGGGTGGGAGGAGGTGAGCCTGGAGAAAGAGATCCCAGCCTGGCCCCAAAGGCAAGTCATTTCAAAACCTCTTTGCACTACACTTTTTCTCTCTCCTTTCATTCTTCCAAAAACAAAACAAAAATATTTCCCAATGCAGACTGCCAACTGAAATCTGCACCTTAAAAGGCTAGATTGGGCCGGGCGCGGTGGCTCACGCCTGTAATCCCAATACTGGGAGGCTAAGGCAATTGGATCACTTGAGGTCAGGAGTTCGAGACCAGCCTGACCAAATTGGTGAAACCCTGTCTCTATTAAAAACACAAAAATTAGCCAGGCATGGTGGCGGGCACCTATAATCCCAGCTACTTGGGAGGCTGAGGCAGGAGAATGGCCTGAACCCGTGAGGCGGAGGTTGCAGTGAGCTGAGATCATACCATTGCACTCCAGCCTGGGCAACAGAGCAATACTTCATCTCAGAAAATAAATAAAATAAACAAAAGGCTAGGTTGTGTTGGTTTTCTCCCCCCTCTTATTTTCTGGGGACCTGCTACATTCTGATCATGGATCCTCTTTTGTCTGAACAACATCACGTTTTCCTCTGAAATCCTTTCTGTCTCTCTTCCATCCAGTTGTTTCTTTAACTGAAAAAGGAAGCTGCCAGGGGAAACATGTCGGGGTCTTGACAGCATCTGCTGTCTGTGTATATTTCAAAACACTTAAAAGAGATCCTGAGTCACTGAGGGGCATCCTCCTGTTTCTTATGTTTTCTGTTTCAAATATTGTCTCCAAAGCTCACCTCTCAGTGCTGAGAGTTTGGGGGCTTCTTCGTGGAGTTATAGAGTCATGTTTAGGAAACTCTACTGGGTTAGGCCCTTGAAAACTTTTGCCTTGTAGAGAAAAAAAATTTTAATTATTCTTCTGAGTGCTCTCATTATCCATTTGTATCTCCAACACACACTTGCACGCACACACATGCACACACACGCACATACACATTCCCAAGTTCTTTTATTTTTTTCCACATAAATGCAAACTCTTGTAGGAATCTCTGAGAACAGTGCCCCATTTTAGAGTTTTGGTCTACCAGGGTTTGAGCTGTAAACCTTGAGAAACCTGTCTTCTCCCAGATACTACTGCAGGAGCAGTTCAGGGAGGACTCCCTATAGTCATTTTATGCTCAAGGTTTATTTTAATGCCTTTATCCCATATTTTAAGAGACTGCTCTGAGAATTTTAAAAATACACCCCTCTTTTCATTCCCAAGATGACCTGTAAGAATTTATAAAATGTAACAATAGAGCCCTTTTTTTAAAGCCAGAGAAATGAAAGAAATAAGAGAGAGGGAGAAGAAGAGGGAGAGGGGGAGAGAGAGCTAGAAAGAGAGAGAGAATGAGGGAGGAAGAGAAGAGGAAGATGAGACCAAGAGAAAAGATAAGATGTAAACATACAGTCAATAAGATGACATGCCAGCATGAAAACAGGATTTTTTATTTGGCTCTGAGCTGTCTGGAATCCTAAGAAAAAAATATGTACTTGCAAATCAGTGGTGTCTTCACAAAGCAAAAGATTACACCCTAAGAACCAGGCTTTCCCTGCTGTTTAAGTCAAATCCCTTTTGACCTAATTCTTAGGGTCCTATAGCTCTGGACTCCTTTGGGCCAGACTTGAACTCTATAGTTTATCCACTAGAAACCCTGGAATTCCTTGTGCATCAGTTCCTGCAGCTGTAAAATGCAAGCATTGAACTAGATCATCCTTGAAGGTCTGTTCCACTCTAATAGTCTAGGATTTTGTAAATAATTTATTTATGATTTAGTTGGTACTTCTGCCTAACATATTCTATAAACCTTCACCCAGCTTTTGAAAAACAACAGATCTTTCTAGATTTCATCTCCTTACATGAGTATTAGCCTTTCTACATCGGTACAACCTAGATAATTGGAAAAGGAAGGATGTTAAGAATGCAGGCTCGATGGCTGGACTTGGATCTAATGAATCCTAATATCTGGGGGTGGTACTTGGGGACGTGTAGTCAATAAGCCACCTGGGCAATTCGGATCCACCATTAGTGCATCTGATGTTTCTGTAGGTAACACATTGTATTAGTGTCCTATTGCTGCTGTGAAATATTACCAGAAACTCTTTGTCTTAAAACAACACAAGTCTGTCATGTTTACGGGTCTGTATGTGTTTAGAAGTTCCAAATTAGTTTCATGGGGTGAAAATAAAGGTGCCAGCAGGGCCTCCTACTGGAAGAATCCCATTCCTTGCCTTTTCCAGCTTCTAGCAGCTACTCATATTCCTTGGCTTATGGTCCTGCACGGCTCCTATCTGTTTCCTCTGTCTCATTCCTCTCACTGACTCTAAATGTAACTCTCCTGCTTCCTTCTTTTAAGGGCCCCTGTGATTACTGTGAGCCCTCTTGGATAATCCAGGGTAATCTCCCTGTCTCAAGATTCTTAACTCCATCATGTCTGCAAAGCCACTTTTGCCATATAGGTAACATATTCATAGGTCTGGGTACTAAGGTAAAGACATCCTTTGGATGTTCTTTTTCAGCCTGTATCACATACTGCCTTGATTTTGCTGAGGCTGATACAAGGGGCCCTAGAATTTGTTGCTACAAATTTTCTCTACAAAATCCAATAAACTGACTCTAGGAGATGTCACTGAAGCACTTGCTAAAAATATTCTATATTCCACGAGGTAACCTGCAATCACCTGTATCATTTAGAACCCTCCATTTCATCATGCAATTAATTTTTTAATATATATATACTTTCATTATTCACCTGTTAACTCCATAATATGCCAATCACGAGCTAGTTTGCAGCAGTCACATTCCCTTGATCACAGTTGCATGAGGATGTGATTAACTGGAAAACAAAGACCAGAGACGTGATCAGAAATGACGTCATGCAGCCCATGCCATCGCAGTACAATTGTCAGGTTTGCTGGTGGTTTGGTAAAGCTGGTTCAGTTCTATTCCCTTTGCCAGAGATTCCCACGTGTGTGAAAACTGGACCAACAGTGGTGGAGTTCCATTTCCTGGTTCCATTTCCTATGTTCTTCTCCAAAGATAGAATAGTGTCTATTAAGACAAGATGGCTTAGGAGGCAGACTGACCTGAATTACCATTCTGCCTTGGCCACTTACTAGCTGCATTGGGTTTGGCACACTACTTAACCTCTCTGTGCCTCAGTTTTGTAATCTGAAAAATGGGATCTCATAGCTATTAACTAGCAGCAAAGACTGAGCCCTCCCTCTTCTGGACCCCATGTTTTGCTTGGTGTGAGGTGTAGTGGGCTTTTTTATTCTCTAAAATGCCTTAATTTTTGTTTTGGGCCTCAATTCTAACACGCACAGAAAACAAGGCTTGGGCTGTTTAGGGTTTTTATCCTCTCTTTTTTCAAGGGGTTGAGGCTAAGTTCTGGGGCATGCGGACTGACGTCATACTGAAGACGTCATTAGCAGTCGGGGGCAGCTCCTCCTGAGAACTGCTCTATTTCATCTGGTCAAAGCCAGGACCACTCCAGGCCTCAGTCACTCTCAGCCTCTCTTGAATATAGGAAACACTTGGCTGCCCTTTCTCTAGGCTTGAGGAACAGGGAGAGAATGCATTCCCCACTGTGTCAGCGTGCACCTTGCTGGTCACTCCGAACCTTGAGATTCTTGGCGCATCTATCTCAGAACAATTGGTCAGGGCAACCCCACTTCCATTTTTCCTCTGCTATTCCCTGATGACACAGGAATAGGGAATAGCATGCCCCATTCTAGGGTCTTGCCATTTGTCACCTGTGCTTTTACTACCACACCATGCTTTGCACCCTCTGGAGCAAACCATATCAGCCTCTCATCCAAGCTGCTCTGGAAGCTTTTGTTCATAGGCAGCCAGAGATAAGGGGCTGAGAATGGTGCAAGAAAACCATCAAGGGTAGAGCTGCTAAAACTAGTGACCCCTTTGCTAGAAGACAAGTTATATGTGCGTCCATCCCCGACAAATCACTCCTTGGCAGAAGGAACTCAGAAGGCGGTGGAGGGGTTGTAGACAGGATAAAACACTCATGCTTAATTGCCTTGGGAGGGTCAGAAACAAGTCTCTGTTCAGTTTAGTCAAGCTAATTAGTTAGAAAAGAATGTGCTCAGCATATAAACAAAAACCTTTTTTCTATAAGCAATTAGGAACCACCCTAATCTTACTCATTTAAACACACACCCAACCACAAAGCTGGAAAGACACCAAAGAGTTGGAAAGACACCAGAGTTGGGGCTGAACAACAGCTTTTGCTAAGTTTCAAACCTTCACGATTAAAGACTTATCTTCCTTTCTGAAAAGCTTCTACTCTTGGCGAACCCCTGGGCGTTCATTTCCAATTTGGTTTTGACCAGGCAGCATTATCTGTGTACTTTATTTACATTATTTAGAATTTTCATGACATTCTTGCATTTTTTCTCATCACCGAAGTATTTATCATATTTATCATGTCTATATGTTGGGTACATTGAAGGTCTTCTAGCTATTTGGAAAAAGTACAACCCATTTTGTTAACTATAGTCACTGTACTATGCTAGCAAACATTACAACATACTCCTTCCATCAGACTGTATGTTTTACTCATTCACTCTTAAGTTTAGCAGTGATGGTGTCAGGCTGTCCTTAACCATGCTGTAGAGGCGCATCCTCTCTGCTTCCACTACAGCCTTCTGTCCTTTCTCCGTCTCACATTCATACACTGTTTTGTAATTGACAGCTTATGTGTCTCTGTCCAGTAATCAATGTGAGACCAGTCTTATGTCTACCACTGTGTCCTTGGTGTCTTGTACCATGCCCAGCACATAGACGCTACTGGATAAATTATTGTTGAGTGAGTGAATGAATGAATGAATGAATGAATACCTTCTCTGGGAGGAAAGGTCAAATGTGTCAGAGGTCATTGCCAGGGTGATGAGGATCTGCAAATCTGCAAAGCAAATAACACTGAGAATGGAAGCTATCTTTCCCCCAAATTTCTATGCAATTGAGTGTCAAAATTGAAGTGGAAATGAATCACAAGATGGTAGATCTCTCACTGTACACACTTTGATTGAATAATCAGGGCCAATATTTTTTGAACACTTATCACATGCCAACCACTGACACAGCACTCTTTACATGCATTCCTTCTTCTATCGGGTACTTGGACTGAATGTCTTCCACTGACCCTTCCAGATCCACATCTGTGCTTTTCCATCCCTGCCCTGGTGCTGGAATGCTAACCTGTACAGACTGCATAGTTCCTCTTGCTCTCCAGCTTCTAGATGGATTCAACCACTGGCAGGCATCAGCAGAAGTCAGAGAAGAGGGTAAAATGCAGTCCGGGTGTTTAGTCTGCTAACTCCCTGCCAAGTCACCGTGGGTAAGTTAACTATATCTACTGAGACCATAGTGCCTGTCTTGCAGCCTTCTTCATACAGTTGCCTTTTCTGGATGCCAGTAACCCCCTCTTTCTCTTGCCCTTATAGGCTTAGAGATGTATCAGCTGTCTTCTGTTATTACCCCAGGGGCATTCACCATGCCATGTGGGTTTCCTTAAATCCTATCACCCTTTTCTCGTAACAATAGTTATGTCATTAATAGCTCCGTTTTAAAGAAAGGACAGTAAGTCTTAAAGAGATTAAGAGACATTTCGAGGCCAGGTGTGGTGGCTCATGACTGTAATCCTAGCAGTTTGGGAGGCTGAGGCAGGAGGATCACTGGAGCCCAGGAGTTCAAGACCAGCCTGAGCAACATGGCAAGACCCATCTCTACAGAAAAGTAAAAAATTTAGCTGGGCATGATGGCACATGCTTGTAGTCCCAGCTACTCAGAAGGCTGAGGCAGGAGAACCACTTGAGCCCGGGAAGTCAAGGCTGCAGTGAGCCCTGTTCATGCCACTGCACTCCAGCCTTGGCAACAGAACAAGATCCTGTCACTAAAAAAAAAAAAAAAAAAAAAGGGAAAACAGAGAGACGTGTCCAAGGTCGCAGAGTCCGTAGGAGCAGATCCTCCAACCTAGATCCATCTAACTCTACTGCTAATGCTTCCCTTATGCGATATTCAAGGGGAGAGAGTGGCCGGTGCCCCAACGCTGAGATGTAACTCAGAGAAAAACGATCTGGAGCAATGTTTACTGGGAGCCAAGAGCAGAGTTCTCATTTCAGACCTCCGCTTCCACAGATGGGCACTTAGAGTTTGGCTCCGGGGGATGGTGGTGGTTCACTGAGAGTTCAAACCCCATCACAGACACATGTGGGTGAATAAAGTGGCAGGGTCTTTGCTTCTTCCAAGTGCCTGATACAGGCTTGCAGATGCGTGGGGGTGTGAACGAGAGAGCCTCAAGTGGATTTCACTCTTGGATGTAGCCTATAAATATGTATGTTGGGTACCATGAATCATTTAGGGCTGGATTGGTTGCAGTTTTTCATTTTTTAAGGGATGGTTTCATGACTCAGAGATACTGGCATGCACCCCCGGGGCCAGAGTGGAACCAAACACTTTACAGAAATTGGAAGGAAACAAAATATTTGCTGCCTAGCTTTACTCTGAGAACTTTTTCTAAGTTTGAAAAGATACAAGGGCGCAGAGAACAGGTCACAAATAAGCTTCACTCAGGGTTGTGGTATTTTGATATGTATTTTACTCGTTTTTGACCATAATCCCTGGCTCATAGCTTCCATAGCCTTTGTTCCAGTCTTTTGTTAGAATGTCGGGTGTGCCAGGCATCAGGAAACAGAAGCTCTCTGACTTTCCCCAGCCCTCCTCTCACTCTAATCCTTCTCCAGTCTTTCTGACTGTGGGTCTTAAGACCAACACTCCCCAGAGAAAGTCCTGCTTTATACCCTGGGAAAAGGAAGACTGAGGTCATGAATCTTGCCTAAAAACACAAGAGAACTGGGTCCAGGGATCTTTTGGATAACTGAACATGCAGAGGTTTCTAAAGGGTGGCCCCCAGGGAGAGAGCATGGAAGCTCTGTGTCCCTTCTCCCATACCTCATCCTACACGTCTCTTCCTCTGGATCCTTTGCAATATCCTTTACAATAAACTGAGTTCTGTGAGATGCTCCAGTAAATTAACAAAAAAACAAATAAACAAACAAAAAAAAAAAAGAGAGAGAAAGAAGGTATAGAGAGGATTATTGCATCTCCCCACTGAGCATTTGCTATGCCAGGCTGTAGAGATTTTTATATGCATTCTACTAAAAAAAAGAATGGTTGGTTCCAGAAAATATTTCTTTCCATTTTATAAGTGGGCAAAATCAAATCAGAAATGATATGGAGTAAAAATGAGTTGGCAGCAAGTCTAAAATTATTTCAAAATAATAAGTTAAACCAAGCTGATAGATGCTAGTCTGCCACCAGGATGCTGACTCTTGGTTGCAAGTGATAGAAACCCAAGGGGGGATTCATGGAAACCCCAGTTTGAAGCTGGTCAGAATTGTTTTTCTGTTTTTGAGATGGAGTTTTGCTCTTGTTGCCCAGGCTGGAGTGCAATGGCACGTTCTCAGCTCACTGCAACCTCCGTCTCCCAGGTTCAAGTGATTCTCCTGCCTCAGCCTCATGAGTACCTGGGATTACAGGCATGCACCAGCTAATTTTGTATTTTTACACCCAGCTAATTTTGTATTTTTAGTAGAGACAGGGTTTCTCTATGTTGGTCTGGCTGGTCATGAACTCCCGACCTCAGGTGATCCACCCGCCTCGGCCTCCCAAAGTGCTGGGATTACAGGCTTGAACCACCGCACCCAGCCCACTTCTTTCTCTTGAAGTTATTTGCTTCTTGGTTCTGCACCGGGCTAGGCTAAGTAGTTGCCAGCCCATTTTTCAGGTTCCTTTCCTGAATGAATGATTTCCACCTCTTTCTTCATTGCTTCTACAGTCATCCCTTGGTATCTGAGAGGGATTTGTTCCAGGACCCTGGGAGATACCAAAATCTGCAGATGCTCAAGTCGCATATATGAAATGGCATAATATTTGCATATAACCTATACATATCTCTGTGTGTTAGGCCGTTCTTGCATTGCTACAAAGAAATACCTGAGACTAGGTAATTTATACAGAAAAGAGATTTCATTGGCTCACAGTTCTGTAGCGTGTACAGGAAGCATCACATAGGCATCTGCTTCTGGCGAGGCCTCAGGAAGCTTACAATCATGGCAGAAAATGAAGGGGGAGCAGGTGTCTCACACGGTGGGAGCAGGAAGGAGTGTCACACACTTTTAAATGACTAGATCTTGCAAGAACTCAGACAGAGAGCTCACTTATCACCAAGGGGATGGCACAAGTCATTCATGACAGATCTGTCCCCAAGATCCAAAAAGCTGCCACCAGATCCCACCTCCAGCATTTGGGATTACAACTCAACATGAGATTTGGATGGGACATCCAAACTTTATCACTCCATATACTTTAAATAATCTCTAGATTACTTATAATACTAATATAATGTAAATGCTATGTAAATAGTTACTATACTGCATTGTTTTTAAGTTTGCATTATTTTCATTGTTATATTGTTATCTGTTTTTCCCGGATATTTCCTACTGTGGTTGGTTGAATCTGCCACATGTAACGCTTGGATACAGAGGACTGGCTCCATGTGCATTTAGGCCAAGATAGTTTGGGTTGGGCCAATGCAATTATTTGGGAAAGTGCTGGATGGCAGGGACACTTTGGAATCAGAAAGGAGAATCTCTTTTAAAGCAAGAATCTCACTCAATGAGACCAAAGAGAACTTTTAACAAGGTCAATACCTGAACTTGACTCACACCCAAAGTAATAAATGCTAGTGCTCATTCAAACCCTTTAATCTGATGTTTCAAGAAGATAATGGACCACCAGGGAGGTTTGTTAGCCAGTGAACTCAGCCTCCACAGTCATCCTTCCCTGCTCTTCCCACCTGAGCCCTTAATGGCTTTACCTCCCGATCATTCTTTCCTCCAAATTAAATATATATGGTAAAGGATATCAAAATTCCTCAAAATTGCAAAAAAAAGGAATTAGTTATAATTTTATGTCAAAGAATGTGAAATGTCTATTTAAGAACAATGTTTTAGTTATAAATTTTCAACTGTTATTGCCCCTCTGTCACACTTCAACATAAATGCTGCATTTTTCTCTATCATCTGGGAAGCTTTCATATGAAGGTTTCTTTATTCTCATGACTAATAGCTGATTCTATAAGTACCCCCTTACATATACATTACTGTTGCATATACAATAGTCCATAAGATTATAATACTCTCTTTTTACTGTACTTTTCTATGTTTAGATATGTCTAGATACACAAATACTTACCATTGTTACAGTTGCCTACAGTATTTCATATGATCACATGCTGTGCAGATTTGTAGACTAGGAGAAATAGGCTGTACCATACAGCCTGAATATGTAGTAGGCTATATCGTCTAAGTTTGCGTACGTAAAAGTTTCAATGTTTGCACAATGATCCAGTCACCCAACAATGCATTCCTATTTTTTTTTTTCACTCTTATCACCTAAGCTGGAGTATAATGGCACGATCTCTGCTCACTGCAACCTCCACCTCCTGGGTTCAAGCAATTCTCCTGCCTCAGCCTCCTGAAGTAGCTGGGATTACAAGCGTGTGCCACCACATCCGGCTAATTTTTTTGTATTTTTAGTTTAGGAGGGGTTTCACCATGGTTGGCCAGCTTGGACTTGAACTCCTGACCTCAGGTGATCCTCGACCTCCCGAAGTGCTGGGATTACAAGTATGAGCCACCGCACCCAGCCTAACAATGCATTCTTTAGACTGTATCTCTGTTGTTAAGTGATGTATAACTGTATGTGTATATATTTTTTTCTCACTTGATCCCTGATATGGTTTGGCTGTGTCCCCCCAATCAATCTCATCTTGAATTGTAGCTCCCATAATTCCCACATCTTGTGGGAGGGACCCAGTGGGAGACAATTAAATCATGGGTGCAGTTTCCCCCATACTGTTCTTGTGGTAGTGAGTAAGTCTCATGAGATTTGATGATTTTATAAGTGGTTTCCCCTTTCACTGGCTCTCATTCATTCCTTGCCTTCCACCATGATTGTGAGGCCTCCCAAGCCATGCGGAACTGTGAGTGAATTAAGTCTCTTTCCTTTATAAATTACCCACTCTCAGGTATGTCTTTATTAGCAGTGTGAGAACAAACAACTACAATCCCCTATGAATGCTATGAGATAGATTCTATTATCTTCATTACACAAATGGGGAAACTGAGGCACAGAGTAGTTAAGTAACATTCCCAAGGTCACAATGCAGATAAGTGGCAGACCTGGGATTGGACTGAGGAAGTCAGACTCTGGAGCCTATCTCTGTATGCCATTGCCTGTGTTGCCTCTGCAGTGCGCAGTGTAAAAGAAGCATGC